TTCTAATCTAGACGAATATTCGTATATATAATGTACATATTTGTATACAAACTTAATCGTCTTCCTTCGATGTATATTCATTCATATCACTTATTCAGCATAATAACTTCAATCAAGGTATCTTACTTTAGTCGTTACTAAAGTAAACACATTAATTTCAGTATTGTGTCATAGCGTATTTTATTGTAGTGTCGGTTATTATGTTAAAAGCCCATATAACTTATTCTAGCTTTCGGACAGACCATTTCATTCATTCTATTTGAGTCACATTTTGACTTTATTAATTATTCGCTTATCAGTCTTGACTGTTTTCATATGAGCGTGTATGCGTGTACACTTCATATCCCATTACTCATCACATGTCTGTAGCTTACTTTTTTGTAACTTTAATTATTGATTAACGCTTGGTTAAAGGAGAGTTGGCTTATCCGCCATCGCCACTGCGCGTCGTTTTGCTTCGTTCTATTCCATTCACTTTACATACAAAATATAAGTATTCAAAAATTCATTCTCGTTATTTGACTTATTAAATTCCGTTACTGACTAACATGATTTAAGTCGATGATCATATACGAGGATAGGCGATAATAAACATTCATACGATCTAAATGACGACAAAATTAACGGGCCTCCGCATTGTCATTACTCAATGCTCTAAGCATTTTTACTGAGAAATGAGTAAAAACACTGAATTACTAAAAGGATATTGTTATACATATCACAGAGTTTGAAAACGCTGTATGTAAAGTCAATCGACTAATCTGTGAGTGAGTAATATAATCAGAACTATTACAAATATGACTAGAACCAAAAAATGTTTTAATTAAACTACCGCTCCGATAGGATAGCGTCAGATACTTGTATTAAATAATATCAGAGTTAGACCAAGGTTGTGGTTAATTTTGGTTAAGCCCTTTTATTAATTTACTTAACAAACAATGTTATTTGAACAGTAACAATTCGCATATTTCTTTGTACCGTTATGATCACTAGAGAACATGGCACACTCTAGCTAAAATGTTGATCACTTAAATATCACTCGATGATTCATTCTTCTCCCAATGTATATATGTACTCAAATCCTATTATTAGTCCTTGCTTTGTCTTGCTGCTCCCTTATGCAATTTGACTATAAATTTGCCCATATATACTTATTCGCATCTCTAATTCACATTCGCTTGATTTGCATATAGCACTATCCGTTAGTAAACTGTAGTTGCCATTTCTTATTGCCTTCTGATTTTAAACACCGTTGAGATTTATATTATCACGGTTATCAAGGTGATCGATTAAAGAAACAAAGCCACTACAGTCACTTAGTATCCACATAACGTGACATTAAAACTCTATCTAGACAAAAATCAAACGATCTTTATTATCTAACAAATACTTTGTTGTAAACATAGGTAAACTTTTTATTGCGGAACTTCTCAAAGTGAGTCTAAGATTTTACTAAGTGATTTTCTTCATTTTAGTAGTTTGTCAGATTACTTAGGAATCAATGTTTTACATTTATTTAGTACAGTTTTGTTTTTGGAAATATTAAACCTAATGGTGATCATCTTTGATCTAGTAATTTTGAATAATAATACCTTAAAAATATTCAAGAAATGAATGAATGTAATTTGTATACTAAATGATTAGTGGATATGATTAAATCATGATTTAGTTCATCTGATTTCACAACAATAATAATTTACTTAAACAAAGATGGATAGTGGCTAGCAGTTGAATGCAGGACGCAGGCTTCGTCCTATTTGGGACTCGTCAACTGCATGTACTTGCATCCAAGAGTTGATGTTCATCCAGGACTCGAATTCAGTACTATTCGTTTCAAAAGCAATCGTGTTATTCACTTAGCTACTGAGTCCTAATGGCCACCTACTTGTGAAGTTTAAATTCACTTGGTGTTGTTTTACTTGTATCTTCCAATTGTTACTTAGGACTGCAATTGATCAGTCTCTTGTTGGCGTTTGAAGCGAATGGTACTGGGTTCGAGTCCAAGAGTGAACATCAACTCTGGAATGCAGGTACATCCAGCTGACGAGTCCCAAATAGAACGAAACGCGCAGCCTGGATTCTACTGCTAGCCCTACTAATCTTTGCTTGAAAAGCTTGTGACTGAATATTATATCAAGGCAATCCGCACAGGATGCACATAACAATGAGGAGATACAAGTGAAAATAACACCTAGTGAATATGATAATTCACTTAGTTTAATAATCATAATTCATTATCACATAAAACTATAGTAGAAGAAACAAACTAAAATTAGTGTAAATAAAGCTTTTTATATTGTGATCTATTTTGCGATTGGGTTAACTCTATGGAACTATCATTCATATGAATTTTGATCAAAAGAGAGAGTTTTTTAGAATAACCCTAGACACTTCGTCGAAATCATAGTAAAATACGAACAAAATCAACATGTCATGTAACTTTTAATTTACTCTCAACTCATCATTTTGATGGTTTATGATTTAAACATAAACAAGAAATTGATATCATCATATAAGACTTAGAGTGTACTTTCAATTAAAACATAATGTAAAACACACATATTTGTTAGTGTACTTAATAAGAACATATAGTGGTGCCTAGTCTGTTGTATACCCTGATGATGTTCTCGTGACTTTCAGGTTGCTTGATTTTCCAAGAGTGATGGAACAGTACATGATGGTATTGTTTTATGCTAGGTTCAAAGAGAATTGTATACTATAAGCATGCAAATCTGCCCCTATATTGTTTCTATTGTTCTTACATATTTGTTAATGTAATTAGTAAGAACATATTAGTAAATTATTTGAAGAAACATCAATGAGAATTACATAATTTACAGTTTAAACTATTACAATATCCATTATTTGAAAATGAATTATGGTTAATATCTTTGAATAAAGAAAATAGACATTAACACAGTTGAATGCCGGCTCAGTGAACTAGAGGTCAAGCGCTCGCGCGCGAAACTGATAGGTCCTGGGTTCGAACCTTGCGAGGCTGGGTTGTGGATGCGCACTGCTGAGGAGTTCCACAATAGGATGAAGCGGCAGTCCACTGCTTCCTGGTTTTCCACGGTGGTCTAGCTTCAATTGACTCATAATATCAACCATTCAAATAAAATTGTTGATTTAATATTGAATTTATGCTTTGAAATTTAATGTTTATTTTGTTTTAATTTGTCTAAAATCGAATAATAAATGAATCGTAAAGGATGGTTATCATACTTATAAGATTTATTGTTACATTGCATGACTGGATAAAAGGGAGAAAATGAATCCGAATTATTTAGAATATTTTTTGTTTGTTTTAGTGTTCAGTGTTACTTTATCTATGTCAGTTTATTTCGGTTTTAAAATGGTTCTTCTTTTGAAGTTACTCAAAACCTAAAAAATGAAACAATACTGAACGTTCATTGATTTGTTGAATTTTATGGTACTATTGAAAATGATAAAAGAGAACGATTACTTTAATAGGTATATTCATGAGTCGATTAAAGCTAGATCATCACTGAAAACCTGGAAACTCTGGACGACCGTTTCATTCAATAGTGCCCATCCATGATCCTGCATGCAGGACGCGAACCCATGACTTTCGATCACACTAACGAACGCCCAACGTTTAGATCACTGAATCGAACGATTATTTACTAAGAGAATAATTAAATGTATTAAAGTATGATTCTTGAATTGGTTGACTGAAATTAATGATTATGAAAAATTATTCAATATTAAGGAAAGTAACAATCAGAAGTTGTTGTTTATATTACTTACTCAATTAATAAAATATTATCATATTACTATTCTATTGCTATTAAAATCAAGCCAACCGGTTGCATGGAACAATGGCAAAATATGATGAGGAATAATTATAAGCTACTGTTACTAATGACCATCTATGGTGTATGTTATCACAAACATTTTCATTGCTTACATCTTTTGATGTAGAACTGCAAAGTTAATCATCTAAACTAATGTTTTATTAATACTACACATGATCCTTCATATTATGCGGTACTGTTTCAAGACTACTTCCTTATTCACATGAAATGACTTGTATTTTACAAAACGTTCGGCAAAATCTCTGACTATATTATCTCAAACATTTACATACAATAAACACTGAAATTTAATGGGTCTCTACATAATATATATTCTTAGTGGTCGAAGTTTTAATAGTATTTCCAGTCTTAGTGTTCGATAATGTTAATCTTATCAAACAATGAACTGTCTTAGCAAATTGTGCATGTATAGTTTAGCAGTAGATATCTAACTACTGGTCTCCATTTATACCGATTTAGAACATTTGAGACATTTGTGCAAACTTGACTTTACAAGAAATTCAAGATTCGTTTAAGCCGACTATCTATATCTACCTCTCAATCTGACCACGAAGGAACACATCTTATTATAGATTGATATCATCAATGGGTCAGTATTAGACCACCATTGAGAATCTGAAAACAATGGACGGTAATTTCGTCTTAGTATAGGACCCCTCAGCAGTGCGTATCCACAATCCCGCACACCGGATTCGAACTCAGGATTTTTGGTCTCGGTCATCCGATGTTTTATTTCAGGTTTTCAAATGTGCTTTGTGATTAATCTAATCATAATATCATTTTAAACTCAACAATCTCTACAACTTTATGTACTTGATGAATACATATTTAGTTACATTTTTCATTAAAAGTCATAACACCTAGTCATTATTACCTACTAACGAATAAAACTTCAAAATTGCTTTTAGAACAACTAGCTTAACATTCATAAGAACAGAACGAATATCTTCACTAATTTTTTATGATGTATAGTAATGTAATAACATTTATGTTTAGATACATATGTAATTTAACAATAGTATTTCTTATTGCAGTTATAATAAAGTCATATGCAACTTGTATGACATTATATACAATTAATTAGGACATAATAGACATAGACATATATATTATGTAATACAATAATACAATACTCTCTATATATATCGAATCTCAATTCAAGGAATGTATAAATACAAATGAAGAAGAATTGATCCATACATTTAGAATAAGATTAGATCTTTTTATTCAACAATATATAAATTGAATCAAATGATCTATTCACTTTATTCATCATTGTTAAGTATCATTCATATTCATTTTATATACATTTTAATTTTTGACAAATAAGTAGATGTATATCAGCTCGAAAATTTGGATTCATAAAACCATATATAATTGGATTAATTGCATTATTTATATAATATAAATAAAATATTGGTAAATATAATGGTACATATTGTATAGCCATTAACATAGCTGGTATAAATGTCACAATATAAACAACGGCTACAACAAATAACATTGCTGCTGTTTTTAAATTTTGAAATGCTATATTATCTTTGATTGTTTTCATTGAACGACGTGTTTTCTCTTCATTTATAATTAAATTGGTTTCATAATTTAATGTAATTGGTTGAATCATTACTGATTCTGTATTATGACAACAATTTATAGGAACAAATGTATTTGATTTCATTGTTTGTGGTTGTTGTTGTTGTTCGTGGTGGTGGTGGTGTTGTTGTTGTTCTTCGTGGTGGTGCTGTTGTTGTTGTTGCTGCTGCTGATGATGATGATGATGATCGTGTTTTTGTGATGGATCATTCATTTCTTCATTATTTTTTATATCAATAGTATTACATGATAAAACATTTAATGGTTTCATTGTTTCCGTATAATTTGATTCAGATATTATAGTATTATTTATATGTTGATTGAATCCATCACATTGAGTGAATGGATTATCTTGATTTGTTAATGTTAATTTCATTGGGGATATTTTTACTTTTTTCGATTGATAATTAAATAAATTTCTAAATGTAAATTCACAGTTTTTCTTTTTTTTATGATTTTTTTCGATTTTTTTATGGTTTTTATTCTCTTTTTTTACACCTTTTAATTCTAAACGTTTTTTAAATACCTAATAATTGAGAAGAAAAAAAAACATGAGAGAAAGAGAAAACAATGTACCAGATAATGAAAAGTAAACAAGTAATTCAATGGTTGAATTCATGAGTCAGGTGAAGCTAGACAACCTGAAAGTATTAGACAGCCGTTTCGTCCTATTATGGGACTCCTCAGGAGAGCGCATTCACGATCCTGCCCGTAGGACTCGAACCTAATATCTATTGAACTCGCACTTGAACGCTTAACTTCTCGACCACTGAGTCGAAATTCAAAGTTGTTAATGTCTAACTTCAACTAATTCACGAAATTGAGCCACATGTCCACCATTGATTTCAGTGGGTTACTATCTCACAACATACTCAGATGAACTCCATTGGTCACTGATTCTTAGCAGAAGTTCAAGAAATACCTCGTGAAGCCAGTCACTATTGAGCATATGCTGATTATAATCAGAATGTGATTTCTGTGAACATTTTATGAATTTAATAGTTGAAGTCATGAGTCTTTTAATGGTAGACCACTATAAAAAACCTGGAAACACTGGACAACTGTTCAATTGATCGATGGTTTTTAATAGTGGACTAGCTTTAATCTACTCATGAATTCAGCCACTACAATCTCGACAAAACCCCCTTTTTTATAATGATCTATTAAAGCATTAGTTATTATTGTAAGATTATTATCAAGGACAATTAACAAGAATGAATCTCAAAAACAAAAAAAATTAAGCTCTTTCAACTATTCGACCTAATTTCGATCAATTTTTATTTTAACCGCTAAAATGATCTGATTTTATTGGATAATAATAATAAACAAATAAATTAAAACATGACTAGTGAATACTTTAGTTCGACAGTTTCTAATAGATCAAATTGAATCATTTATTGATTCCTGCAAAAAAAAACAAAAAAAATAAGTGGAAAATTATGTTACCTATTAAAATAACCTCGAATATGTAGAACGATAGATCTATGATACCATCGATCATTAACAGCATTAGATACTGGCTTAGTGGTCTAGTGGTTAAGCGCCCGCGCGTGAGATTGATAGGTTCTGGGTTGGAAACTCATGAGGCGGGATCGTGGATGCTCACTTCTGAGGAGTCCTACAATAGAACGAAACAGTCACCCACTACTTCCAGGTTTTCCATGTTGGTCTAGCTTCAATTGATTCATGATCTCAACTATTTAAATTAATATAATATACACAAAAATCCTTTCAATACATTATTCATAACTTAACAAAAAGTCTCAGTTCTCATATTCAAAATTATACGTTTCAAGCTTCTGCCTGCTATGCATCATTATAATCTTTATGATAAATATCCTCTTAATATTATTTATGAATAACATCATCTTTTTCTTAAAGAGTTTAATCTTAATTACTTGTCATCTACACATCTTATTATGTTTCTATATCAATCTAAATATCCACTTGAACTAGCGTGTGTTCTATTATTAACTTAGGAATAAAAGTTATTTATTTTGCTTCTCATGTAGTGATTTAGTTCAGATAAATGAAAAAAACAACTAATTAAAATGTCATATGTAAATTTCTAATTACTTTTAATCAAAATGTTAGTAATATGTAGACAATGATGTGTGTTGATATTGTTTGGTAACATGAAAATGATTGATGAATATCTATTATTGAAATATTGTTGGTATGTTAATGTTACTATGTATCAATCAGTCAATCACTGTACGTAACTTTTTTTATTAAGGTCATGAACCGATTGATGTTAGACCACCGTCGGAAAAGTGGAAGCATTGAACAGCCGTTTCGTCCTATTTTGGGACTCCTCGGCAGTGCGCATCCACGATTTCACTCGCGGGATTTGCACGCGTAACCTACTGGACAACTAAGCCGGCACAATGTACGTAACTATTGTGTCAAGTATTGTGTTTATGAACTACGTAAGTTTAGCATGTTTACTGGTTAGCAATTAAATTATGATGTGAATTTACTGATAGTTTCTATAATACTCATTAAAAAGTTGATCAACATATGACTAGTCAGTCGTCCAACTCAATTAATTTAGTACCAATAGAAATTATTAAGATGCATTCTTAACGAAACAACATATAAATGTTATAATAGTTTAAGTGAAATAGTAATTATACTCGAAGATTGTGCTTCAAATCTTGTCTAGTTATGTGTCCAGACCTCGAGTTTCATCACGCTTGTTTCATATTTGAAATTATGGTTAAACAGTAAATTAATAAACATAGCGATACATTTTCACTGAAATACGGTTGAAATCTTATTATTTCAATGATAAGCAGATGAACTGGAAAATTATTCTCTATGCCCTAAGAAGAGATTAACTCCCAGATAGCTCAACAATAAGTTACTTTATTCATTCAAGATTTTCATAATCTTGGTGATCCAGTTGACGGGTATCACATAGGATGAAAAGCGCGTTTTTGGATCCCACTGTTAGTGACTATCCATTTCTGCTTAAATATCATCACTGACATCAACAATCTTTTTTTATTTTGTCGCAATTCATAGTTTGGATCTATTCCATGCTTAAACTAACAATATGCAATAGTGCTAAATAACAAATTTATTGTGGATGTTTCTATCTTTTTATATGTGCGTTTTTCACGACTCCTCTATAATATATATAATATCTAGAGCTTAGATTCTTGATATACCGCGTACTATTTGAGCACTAGAACGCTAGAAACCTATAATTGGAAAACGAGAAAACAGAAGACGAGTGAGAAGAAATGCTACTCCGAACAGTGTCAAATATAGTACAAAACTGTTAGGTGTTTATAGATTCTGGAATATTATTTCAATAGATGACTTGGTGGAATGTCATCAGCTTCTTCGAGTTCACTCGTAGACCATCCTCACAATATTCAATTTGTTTATTGGAACATATACTTATCCATATATCATTTGAAATCAGTAATGTTTATTTTTGAAAAATAACAGTCGATACATTTTCATCTTGACACTACACCTCAATTTCAATAGTCTACCGTGTAAATGAAATAAACGGATGAAAATCTATGCAAGAATAGATTCTCTATTCAATGTGATAATCTAACATATAATGTTTAAAAGTAGAAAAAATATAAACACTGGCAAATTACGGATTGAATCAACGAAGACTCAGACAATAAATCTTATATTTTAACTTGTATAGAAGAATAAAGTTTTCTTGTTTATCTGAAGAAAGTGAATGTCTTACTTTTAGTACATATATGTAACTGTCTTGACTATTATTTCAATAAATTGGAGCATGATACATTTCATAGTTTATTTCTTTTCAAGCATGATATAAATTAACAAAATGATTTAAACCAACAAGATATGTTAATATATACTAAGATTTTTAGACATTTTTGATTCGCATAACTCATTCATAATTAGCCTATCGATGGTAAAAGAAACAGTCTGTAATTTTATCGCTTGTAGAAAACAAATTATTACATCATAAAAATAATAGCTGTTATATTTAGAGCTTAGATTGTTGATAAACCAAGTACTACTTGGGCACTCGAACGCTGGAACCCTGTAAGTTGAAAACGAGGAAACAGAAGACAAGTGAGAAGGAATGCTATTCCGAATAGTGTCAAATATAGTACAATACTGTCAGGTGTTTACAGATTTTAGTAAAAGTAAAATCATCATTATAGTCATCCAATCCGCATACAGTGGTATTTAGCATTTGTCCAACAGGGGAGGTATACGTAGGGATTCTAGAATATTATTTCATTAGATGACTTGGTGGAATGTCATCAGCTCTTTCTGACCTTCGTAGAGCTTCTTCGAGTTCACCTGTTGGCCGTCCCTACATAAGTCTTTGCTGTTTTCTTTTTAATTTTACACCTTCAACTTCATTATTTCTATATTAGGGCGTAAATGAATTTCTCGTTTATATACACTCATGGTAAATTATCATTTCATAGTGTTAATTAACTAACTAGCGATAATTAAAAGTGATAATAATATCGTGAATTTAATACATTCCGGTAAGTCAAAAACCAAAGTTGACAAGTATATGCGTGTTCTAGATAAAGGTTCCATATACCCGAAAAATTATTTACCTTATGTTAAATACAAAATAAGGTTATACCATTGTAATTCACTAAGCAGTGTTAAACGTTATTTGTGAACTGATGGTTTACCTCTATTCTATAGATGGTATGTAAAGACATAAGAAAGTGACTGTTAGGTTTCAGAGTAAGAGTCAAAATATATTACTAATTATCAAGCGTTTCATGAATACATTTAAACAAAACATTCATACACATTTGGTTATTACAAAATCTCCTACGAGTTATAATAAGAAAACCAGAAATATATGTGGGATCCTTTTAAAAAAAAAGAACTTCAATCTACCACCTCTAAAAAATGTTTCGAGCATTCAGAATTGTTCAGAGTTGTCAATTAGATAAAACGGAACATTTGGAATTTACCAGACATATTGACCTGACGAGGTTTTTTTGGTTTGAATAAACAACAAAAATTAACGAAGGTAATTTTGAATATATACGATTTCTATAAATACATCCCTCAGTAATCTATTCATCATTCACTTTTGATAATACGTATTCTTTACCAATAAAAGTAGGTATACTTGATAGCAAAGGAAATATTTTATCAAACTGATAAATTAACTTGCTTTTTTTTCTCATTTATACATTAAGAATAAAACTTAAGCGAATGTAGTTTTTTTCCGGTTAACTTTTTATTGTGTTCAAACAAAATTCTACCATTTAACATTTGAATGATCTCTAATTAATTTATGATGAATTTAAAAGAAACTAAGTCTCAAACCCGAATACCCTCAGAAACAGTCTAATATAGGAGAGAACAAACCAACTTCCAAACGAAGAGGAAACTAGGGAAAGACGTTGAAAGCGAATAGGACACACATTGAGGAAATCATCAAACTGCGACATGCGGCAAGCGCTAACTTGGAATCCTGAAGAGAAATGAATGAGAGTAAGGTCAAAGAACACACTGCATCGGGAATTGGAAGAAGACATGTAAAGGATGAATAACTACTGAAAAGAACTGGAAAGGACTGTCCAGAACAGAGTTGAATGGAGAATCCTGGTGAGCATCCTATGCACCATCATGAGGAGTAACAAGTGTAATTAAGTAAGTAAATGTTAAACGGTTAGTGAAAATAATTGAATAAATAATAATGTAATAAGCATGCAACAAGAAGTTTAGATTATTAATGTTTTAATCCCTTGAAAGACGTATTTATCAATTAAATTAAAGAAAATGAAGGACTGGGCTTTAAATAAGTTAAACGGTATTGGTACAAAGAGAAACCTGACAAATATTTTATGAATGCAAGTATTAGATTTATCTATATCAATTTCCTTTGACTAATTCTATTTTCAGTAGGTAACATCTTGAAGCATAATGCATGTTGAATAGGATTCATAATAAACAATTGATGATGAACAACAAGTTTTTGATAGTTCTTCTTAATCATTTACTCAACGACAAATGACAATGATGTAAAATACAACCCTGAACTTATTTCGTAGTTCCACAGGCTTAAACGAAATGATAAACGTAACGTAATTATAACTATTTGCCAGTTTTAAATCAACATGTTTAATTACGTGAAATTCAATAGCTATGTAAAAATATCAATTACCATATAATAGTCTACAGGAAATATTTTTTCTGTAACGATTCTCTCAGTTATGCAATGAAAGCCTTAAGAACAAAAACATATAAAATCATAAACTATCTCTGGTATTACTCAACAATTTTGTATATCATGATTGTTTTATTTTCAGAATGAGTTTTGTGGAGATTTTAGGAAATTTCACAGGTTGAAATCATGAGTGCGCACTGCTGAGGAGTCCCATACTAGGACGAAACGGTCATCCAGTGCTTTCAGGTTTTCAATGGTGGTCTAGCTTCAACTGACTCATGATTTCAACCTGTGAAATTATTTTATTTATTTATTATTTATTTTAACACATATATATTAGTACAAGAGGGCACCAAATATATATGCGCCATACAAAACAATGAGAATTTGAAGAGAAGAAGGAAGAAGAAGGTGAGGAGCGTAAAAAAGGAGAACGAAAACGAACAGATTAGTGTAAGGTAGCGTAATAATAATAATAGTAATAATGGGGGAAACAGAATGGTACAGTCAGAAGAGATCTTTCAGTTAAGGAAGAAGCAACCACTTTTTATGAAGAAAGTAAAAGAAGGTTACAGCAGGATCGCCATAGGCTTCTATTCTGAGTCACATCGGATAACGTCTCTAGCCACTGTGTTGCACCATCTCTGGTACCCCAGCCAGGGAGTCATGAAGGACCAACAGAAGCCAGCCCTTCCCAGCCTTCTTTCTTGCCACGACACCATGTCATACACTGACCACCTCTCCGCTTTTTCCAACCAGTCCCAACGTCGGCAAATAATATACGACGTGGAATTCCCTGTGACGACATTCGTAGAACATGTCCAAGTCACTGAAGTCCGTATTTCAAGATGGTGACACCAATTGAATTATCATCTCTGTGCCCGAACACACGATGCCGAACCTTTGCATTACTAACATGGTGTTGCCACTGGATGTCAGTCGGTGACCAAAAATTGGTTCATACACCATTTGTTCCCGCAGGATACTGGAGCCCATATGCACCTTTGGTTTGGGATCCGGTTAGAGAGCCGGACATATCAAGATGGTAGTACGTATTTCAACTACATAGAAACTCGTGTATTTCAGAAGGTTCCAGTTAGTAACAATAACCTTTGAAGATAAATAGTACTTAAAAGAATCCATAAATACCTCTAAATGTAACCCAAATAATTAAAATTTAATTTATTTGAGTATGACCCTTCTTTTTTATTGTCATTTCGAGTCATCATATATTTTCAAAATCATGAGGTGTTAGTTACTTATCTCTATCTCATTCTATCTAATAGTTAACATCTATTTTATTATAAATCACGTTAATAATGTAAAACTAAGATTCATTTTGATCACAGTTTCTACTCAATAGATCATGTGTTGAAATTTTATGTTTGTTTACTTTGTAGACAAACAAACAAACACACAAACAAAACAAAATAATATAAACATATTATATTATTAATAGATTTCTATGATTGTAAATGTGTTTACTTTATTGATTATCAATAAAACCATATTAAAACTAACCAAATATCTGGAACATCCGTAAAATAATTTTTCTATTATTTTATCCCAACCTGTTTTTTTTTGTTTTTGTTTAAATATTGATTAGATAAATTGAGAAAACTTTTTTACCGCATATTCAACAGATGAAAAGAAAATAAACAAAATGGTAAAATAATAAGCCTTAAAGTTGGTTGTTAGTTGAAAAATGGTATACACGTATAACTAACGTCTGCATAAGTAATGAAATAGTAGACTGTTCTAGGAAGTCCATGTTCAGATTTGATTAGCTTCCTTGATTGATTTAATAGTCGAAGATTTCTGACTAAGCTATCTGATTTTATAGTTTACAGTTATCATATTACCAGAAAGAACTTAGGCTCTTAGGTAGAGTTATGATTTTGTGTTATAACGGTTGAGTTTCTTTTGTATACGTGTATGCACGAATGGGACGTTAATTTACCTTAAACAAATATCTACACTAGATTCTCTTCCAGTGTCTATTCTATAGGACTTCAACACAATTCAGATCAACGATACGTGATTAGCCTGACCACAACGTAAATATATTTCCACACCAAAAACCTGACACGATCCAACAAAAATGAACAATTAATAATAAGTGATAATAAGGATAGGGGAATATGATAACTCATCTGACACTTGTCAGACTGTCTACATGTCTGACTAAGCAGACAACCAATCATTATCATTCTTGCCCACACATGACTTTGTAATATCGTATTTAAATCAGCTGTCGTATTCAACGCTTGATCTTCATGAATTTTCTTTTCGCAGTTATCATGTTACCAGCGAGAACTTAGGCTCTTCGGTAGATATTCATGAATTCACAACATTGTATTTAAATCATCTGGTGTATTTCAACACTTCATCTTGATCATCATAAATTGATTAGTTTGCAACTTCATGATTGAATGTGAAAAAACTTAACGTCTGTCCTATGGATTTGAAGTGTGAACACAGTTTGCCAATATACAAAAATAATCATTGTTAGGTTTTTCATTCAAAAATTATCTGAAAATTATGTTATTGATGTGAACACAAAAATTAATTACCATCTCCTACAATACGACTTCATTATCTTATTAAATGAACCGATGAAAACTGTCGAATTTTTTGTTTCAGGTATTTCATAAAAAGACAGTCAGTCAGCTACAACGTAGGACCAGGCACATATATGCATCGGTTCAAGTTGCCATACCTCATTAACACAATAAGATGGACACCGGATTCATAAAAGTAGTTAATTAGGGAGGTTGATTATGAATACAGTGGTTTTGAGTGCTGTTAGAGGTATGAGGACGGTTATCACTTGCAGGTTACCCACACCGTGGAAAGACAGAACTGATTTTATTAAGTTCGTATAAAAGTCATATTATGTCAAGACTCTCACAGTGTAGTTTATAGACTACATTGATGATAATTTAGGATTATCTCTTGATAATTACCCACAATTTACCAGTAACCCTGTATAACCCATTTAAACCAGCACATGTTTAACCACTTAAGCTAAACATTAATGTTATCTGTTATGAAATAGTCAAACTGAACATAGCAAATGACTAATTTCCAATCATCTTCATTTTTTCAAAGAAAAACCTCAGTAAAACCCAACGATAAACACCATTCATAAAGTAAGCCAAAGATGATATTATCAAAATGAAAAAAACAAACAAACAAACAAACAAAAGATTAAACTTACTTTTGATACTGAACGATAAATCAATATATAAAGTGTAACGACGCAGAGAATGCATAAAATATAACTGCATGTTTGACTTTTTTGTACAATCTGATATAGAACTGTTTCTATCATTGTATGATTTAATTTTAATATTTCTGTACATTCAAATTTTTCACTTTTATAATATGAATTAAATGAATAATCAAATTTAATAGTTGAATTATAATCTATAGTTTTGTTGCTATGACGATTATTATCATTATTATCGATTATATTTGTATCAAAATGAACTTGTTCAACTCTAACAGTAAATGTTGAACTAAATCCTAATATAATACATATAAAAATCAATATTAAAATGACACGTTTAGCTCGTTCTCTTGTTAAAATATTTTTAAATGGATGACATAAACAAAAATATCTATCAAATGCTATACAACTAATTAATAAACTACTGAATGGTATAAAAGTATTATTTATAAAATAATAAAATTTACATAAAAATGTTGAATCAATATTCCATTCAACATATTCTATAATCATTGTACCAGGTATCAATGTAATACATGCTAAAAAATCTGATATAGCTAATATAAGTATAAATAATGTAGCTGTTAAACGATCTTGTTTTAATGAATATACAATAATTACAAGTGTATTACCAAATATTCCAATTAAACATATAATACCTAACATTATTAATACAGTTGGAATTTGATTTGATAAATCAGCTGTCATTAAAGACATGAATAATGATTGTTGTTATTATGATTATTATTGTTGTTGTTACTTTTGTCGTTGTTGTTGTTGTTGTTGTTGTCGTCGCTGTTTTCCTTTAAGAATATGGTTTAGGAAGAGTTCATCATGTTATGTAGAAACATTAAACTTTGAAAATCTAAAATGATGAAACAAACAAAAAACAAAAGATTAAAATGAGTGATTGACTTAGATAGTAGAGATATTGATATGATGGAAAGAAAAGTCAATTTCTGATTGATTTACTCAATATGAGTTTTGTTCAACATTACTTCCCTTCTAATCCAACATGAGGATTATTTCGGTGTAGTATTTGGGTTGGTTTTCCCAGTATGATATTTTCTTCGGTATAATATACGATATTCTTGTATTCAGTTGACATGAACTATGCATAGTAAGTGATTTGTTATAACTGAGTATGTGATTTAATCATAATTATTAATCAAAATGGGTGTACAATCAATATATAAACCAGTGTATTTTAGACTATTTTGATTCGTCGTCGTCATAGTGTTTGAGGCCAATAAATCTTCACTTATATCAGTCTTGTGTTCTTACTTTCTTATCGCGGGAATTGCCGAGGTCCCTCATTCCGAGTAGAAGTGATCAGCGTTTTTCCGACACAGCAATCAACGACAATCAAATATAACAGATATATTATTAACTCACAAACTGAATATTATCAAAAGGAGTTTGTAGATATTATAGTGATTTTAATAATTGAAATCATGAGTTAATTGAAGTTAGACCACCATGGAAAAGTTGTCTAGTGCTATCAGGTTTTCCATGGTGGTCTATTATTTATTTATTATTTATATAAAAACATAAACATTGATACAAGGAGGCATCAAATTAATATGCGCAACATAAATCATCCAATTTGTGTGAGAGCTGGGATGCTGCCCGGTGTTCAAACCGAAGTAGGTGGTTTTCCTAGGAGACCCAACCACAGCTTTTGACCAGAAGGTCTAATCCACAAGGTAGTAGAGCAACGTCAGCAGATGCAGTCCCATGGTAGCCTGTGATCAACAATTGGTTCAAACGTCATTTGTTTCTTTACGATCATGGAGCCCATGTGCACTATTGGTTTGGAATCGGGGTTTACAACTTCTCTAGATGGATCATCCGTGTCCATCAACCCGATTAAAGTGCCGGACATTAGCTTTTCGTCCTCTTAACTTCGTAAACAACAATGATACCTTGAGAAGGCAATATGTAGGACTTCCCTGGTAGTGTTTATATGCACGTGGTCACTTGAGAGCATCTGGAGAGAGAGATAGCTGATTGTCTCCACTCTCGGTCGTACCAGGGCTTTTAGGGGCCCATGATTATCTAACTTTAATTGACTCATAATCTCAACCATTAAACTTGAATATTGTTTGTAAAATGTCAGAAACAATTATTATCGTAAGTTACATGTTTTACTTCAAGACCATAAACTCTTAAATGAAACTATCTTTTTTTGATTGAAATCATGAATCGACCGATATTAGACTAATATTGGACACCTGGAAACACTGGACAGTTGTTTCATCCTACTATGGAACTCTTTAGCTGTGAACATTCATGATATGACAAGTGGGATTCAGTCACATTAGATATTCAGAGAACTGAGATATATTTCAAGAACAATTATCTAACAAGTTACTTACATCATCTTTTCTTGTGCTTCGTTTGTATAGTTATGTGTTAATGGATGTTATGCATTTTCATATATAAAGAGATAGATTACAAAATTTAGCTTTAATAATAAAATCTATTCTGTCTAACTATATACCCTTCTTAAACACATCATGATTATTATTATTATTTTATACAAATATTCTTCAAGATTAGAACGAATAGTTTAACAACAATAATTGGGCACCGAGTATAGAAAAATGATCACAGCCATTGAAATTTAAATAATTCCAACGTTTCGTCCAACAAACTTGTCTGAACTTCTTCAGGATAATGACCAAAATCACTTAATTCATTTCCTTTTTACATTTAACTTAATAACTTTTAAAATAATTCAATATTATTTAAACAACTTTGTTTGGATAATTGAAAAACACAATGATCTCTTATTTATAACTTCTATTGTATTTCCTAAGTTTTCAATATATTGGATATAGTTAAGAGATCATTTTATCTACTTTTTTGCAGTTATACCATTCATGAATATTGTTGAAATGTTTGTTATCCACTTGAGATTATAGAGGATTATCATCTCTGAGGATAAAGATTATGGAAATGTTATGTTCTCAGAAATGGATTGTTTACTTGGGAAACTTTTAATATCTTTTTAGACAATATCAATTATGTACTGTTGATATCGCCTAGAAACATAATGAAAGCTTTAAGATTAAAACATTCACCTCAGTAAATGGTTCTTCTTCTAAATCAAAATGCTAACCTTATGGAAAAATGACTGTGTAAATTAAAATTTAATTTACTACTTTGTTTTTATATGATACATTTAATTCAAGGTATTACGTCAGTCCTATTCACGTTATTGTGACATCTAATAGATATTATGACGAATATTTTTACCTTTAAAACACAAACCAATTAGTAACTCAGTTTCAAAATGTAATTAAACTTAATGGTAACATCTGTTTACAATCACACAAGGAATAATAATAATAATAAAAGCACATAAGATTATAATAACATTCCATCATTTAATAATAAACTCTAAGGTATTTAGGTAGGTAAACTGAATGATATATGTTACTAGCCGATCAACGTAAAGTGGAGCTATTCAATGAATAGTTACATTTTAGCCATTATTGATCATTCTATGAGAGTGATACAACTATTTTAATCAAAAAGAACACGAGTAAGAACAATCGAATGTATTTGAGCACAAAATTACAGAACATCTCACTAAAATCTGAGAACCATATAGTAAATAGTTAATTTCCAAAATATCAATCAATTGTCTCAAACATGACTGTTTTTTTGCAAATATCAGTCAATCGTCTCAGATTTCATTGTTCCTGCATTTTCATACCAATTACTCTTCGTTCCCGTTCTTCCCCTATCGATTTTCTACTGAAATACATTCTATGTCTGACCATCGTTATATACCACTTATGTAAATATAATGAGCTCACATCACACTATCACGTAATTCATTAGGAATAATCCCAATTGTCACAAGAAAAGTTTAACAGCATCATTAATGAATCAGTTATATCCAGCTTACAATATACAATTTATGACTGGAATAATATCGAATGATAGTCATAATTTATTTTGTCAATCAGTCATAATCTATGAATCATCGAAGATATTCATATCGAAAACTTAATGTATATTTTGTTAAATGTGTGGTAATTTCACAAATATGAACCAATGTATTCGTAATTTATAGGAAAGTTATAAGCATAAATTACTGTCGAAACTAAAACACTAAATAAAAGATCACCATTTCAAAATTCATACGGAAGGGTGATGTGTGCTACTAATGTCAACAGATATAAGTAGTATATATTATCAATCGAAAGTGAAATATCTAGTGGATGGAGGTTAATATTAAAGGAAATAGAAGGAGAACAGTGAATGATTACTGTGGAAGTGAAGGTCCGTTTCTTTGCATTATTATGATCACTATCTTGTCTGTATAAACACGTACTCTTGATCACATGACATATTTCGCTCTCGCTAAAACGTTGATAGCTTAACTATCGCTTGATGAATCATTCTATTTCCTATGTGTATATGTACGCGAATACTAATATTAGCGTTTGGCTTGTCTAGTAGTTGCGCATTGATTCCGTTTGACTATAAATCCACCTCTGTATTCGCTCTCACACACACATTAGCCTCTCTGCTTCAAACTCTCTCAATGTGCTTGTATCCTTGTGATCTGTGCTATCCACTAATAAACTGTAGTTGCCGCTTCTTATTACCTTTTGATTTCAAACACCTTTGAGATTTATATAATAACGGTGATTGATTAACGAAGATAAGCCATTAAAATATACTAACTTTGTTATTATACATTAAAACTGTCCATTCTTGAGTGGTACTTATGAAATGATTTTTCGTATTTTTATTACTGATATACTTCAAACTAGGTAAAAACAAAGTTTGAATAATGCAATATGGCTTTCAAAGTTTGAAAGGATATACGTTCTCATCAGTTGTGACGAATGCTGAATGGACTATTTATATGAACTGACCGAGATCCCACATTAATGTGGGATGTCGAAAATTTTTTTAATTCCCTACAGCAGTTTAAAAACAGCATACAGAAAACTTCAGTCTGTGTTACAAATTTATCAGTACAGTTCTAAGTTTAAACGTAGCATTCAAGTCTCACTTAGTAAAGGAAAAACATAACCGGATTTACATAGACAAAGTCTTAGACGGATACATACTAGAGATAATGGATAAAATAAACTTCGGTAAATACCTTTTAAAAATAAAAAAGACTATCCCCACAGATTCAATAACAGAAGCATAAAATTAAAGCAATAAATTACACTTACAGTAATCATATTTTCTAGAATATTGAATTTGAATGGAAAATCATGATAAAGGGTTTGGAAACAAGGTTCAAAATATTATGAACAAAGATTAAATAATTTTGAGGTATGTGTTAAGTATTCCAGCTCTAATCTTATTAGTAAAATTATAGCTGAATCATTTAAAAGTCTTATCTTTTCTTCGTCTAATTTATAGAATTTATCGGGGAGACTATAACTTATGGACGATCTCTGAACGAATCTTATGTGACCTTTAGAAATATTAACCAAATAGAAAACAGTATAGAGTAAAAATATATTATACAGAATCGAAGAATTAAAGTGGACACACTTCTTTTAGATGGTTCGAAAACTTGTCAAGGTTAGAAAGAGTTTCAGAGATTCTAAAATCCTAATGAACACATCGGAGGAAACCATCTATATGGCTCCATAAAAGGCGATCTCTGGAGCCATGAGAAAGTCGCAAAAACTCGACCACATAGTTTCAGTATCTTTTGTGTGCACTCTGGTTGT